ATTTTAGCTTGCAGCTACTAGGCTACTGTTTTGGTAATTTTAGCTTGCAGCTACTAAGCTACTGTTTTGGTAATTTTAGCTTGCAGCTACTAGGCCACTGTTTTGTCAATTTTAGCTTTTAGCTTCTGTTTTGCTAATTTTTCTGCTTCAGTTTTGGCTTCAAATTTCAGCTCAGGCTGCATGTTAACAGCAAATGTTTTGTTTTTATTTTATATTTAATAAACCAGCTGAGCCCCACCCTGAACACATCCCAGCCCTGACAGAGGAGAGCTCAGGAAGCGGCTCTTCATCATCATTATTTTCATCATTTTATTGGCTTTAGTAGGTTAGTATCTGGGTTTCCATCATCCATCCATCATCCATCCATCCATCCATCCAGCCAGCCCCCCACCTGCTGTAGCTCCAACATGGCCATCATTTAATCATGTTCCAGCTGTCTCCATCACTCAAATCCGCACAAATACGCTCCCATTCTGCTGCAGGAGGTTATAATCCAGTATAAAAAACACCGGCCCGGATGTTGTCTCGGGTGCTGACGGATGAAAACATGAAGCTGCGGTTCTTACCTTCAGGCCCACCGCTGAGGACCGCGCCTCGATTCGGTGTGCAGCCGGCGGAGAGGAGATGGAGACCGGCTTGTCAACGGAGGCAGCGCCCGCTCGGAGTGGAGAGAGAGAGTCGGAGGAGGAGGAGGCTGAGTGTTCGTGTGGTTCGGACGGGATGCGCAGGGCGGAGACAAACAAAGATGGACCCGGCCGCCCGCTGGWTTTGATAGTCAAACGAGGTCCGGGATCCCGGAGACACACCTGTATGCAAAACCCGGAGCTGCGATGCGGCTCGGCGGAGGCAGGAAATCAGGCAAACTAGGGCGTGATGCGAAGGCAGATTACTGAGCTAATTTACCTCCCCCCGCTCCCTATAAGAGGAGGGATTATCTCTCACAGATGTGACAAAAATAGAGCTGGGATTTTGAAGAATAATCAAACCATAGCCTATTTTGGAAAATGTTTTGTGATGTCACAAATTTAACTCTTTGATGTCCACACCAAGAAAAACTATGAAAAAATTATTAGGTGGCTGATGACAGCAATCAACGATTTTTAAACAACACAGGCCACCCTTTATATTTTAAAATATTGACCTCTACCAAATGGTTGAGATGTCCATTAATAAAAGTACAAAATTGCAAACAAATGGCACAAATATTAGAAAAAGTAACAAAAACATGCTCTTTTGCAAATAAAAAGAGAAAAAAATGTCTACAGATCAATAAAGATATTTGATCTTTAGTAGTGTGCCACAAAACATTGCATCTTTTCACGTTAAACTAAATTTCTGTATCAAACAAATCTATRAAGTTTCAGGTTGATTGCATCTGTAAAAAAAGTGCAACAGCACAAAATTCATTTGACCTCTGATTGAGTGCTCCTGTTAATAACTAATTTTTGTAAGAAAAAACTAAAAATGTAGTACAAAACACAGGAAACAATTATATTTCTTACTTCCAAATTTCAATAAACCTCATTTGTGGTGGAGCAATGACATTTATATCTTTGAAGAGTAAGATCTACGTTTCTTGTGAATTGATTGAACCAGTAGTGTTGGTTTTTGCTTGCTAAAATTCCAAACACAGTAAAACAGTGTGAAACATTTTAAATTTTGTTTCCAACTCAACACACCGTGTGATTGTGTAATTGCACGACTCGTTTTTGAGGATTAGATATTGATTTATGGTGATGTGCTATAATGCATTGCAGGTGTGTTGAAACACAAGAAAACAATGTCTGAAATTTCCACCTTTATACACCCTTGGGACATAGGTTGTATTATTTTTAATTGTCACAATAGGATACGATTATAATAAAATTTAATTTTATCATCGTAATAAAATACGAAAATATCCACTGGTTGTGGTTTTGGTCAGGAGGGTCTTGGGAGGCATTTAATCTGTCAGAGGGAAGAAGGGAATTTGCAGTGCACAGATCCAGGATGCCAGGATGTGATCTCCTGGAGTTAGCTGGGGTCTTGTCCAGGTGTAGCTACCTGCATATCTGAAACAGCAGTACCTCCAATATGCTCATTGTGTGCAGAGATAATTGATGAGCCTATAGCAGTCTTTAGACTCAGTGATCCACCAGTTGACATATTTGTCATTCAACCATTTTACTGCAATTACCCCTTCAGCAGACCTGTTATCTTAGGCGCCATGACCCTTTTTTCATTAGTTCAAAGTCTGCCATCAAAGGATGTTCACCAATGTAGTTTGGTCATATGATACCAATGCACCAAAGATGTATGTGAGTTCTGGACCAAGGTGAAACTTAATCACAAAAGACAACAGGCAGCTAAAGATTTTTATGGTTTTGGATAAATTCACCTTAGCTCCAAGAAGTAACCTTTTTTTCAATTCACTACCCGTTGGGACGGTGGCAAATCATAAAACTTCCAGATGATTTTTTTTGACAAAATATAGTGATATAAGTACATCAGCTTGTATTATTTCATCAGGGTTATTGGGTATATTATGATTTCTACATGTTTTTTTCTGGATTTTACTCATAGTAACTAAGATCGACTTATAAATCAATAGTAAAGAGTAGGAAAACACCTTCAGCATGCTCACAGTAAACTAACACTTAATGAGTTATATTCAAATAAATAAACTTAGAGGGTTTGAATAAGTTTATTTTATGGGAAGTGAACATATTTAATTAGATTGGTTTAATTTTTTTTCCCTTACCATGAACGGATTAATCAACCATTTAGTAGAGCACATTTTCAAAAAACTATTTAAAACATATTTAGAAGTTTTGAGCTGCATCAAGGGTCATGATTCTGTTCATTAGGACCTTTATT